TCTGTATATGCTCTTAATATATCTGTATAATGTCTGTGTGTGGAGTTATGAATATGTACTCTGTGATAATACTGGAAGCTTTTCTGTCTGTGGCTGAGCAATGAGTGAGAAAATCTCACCCTATGGACATCTAATTAGAAAGCCACCAGGAACAATAGGTCTTTTAAGTACCAGAGACACACCTGGGAAGGAATCTAGGTGCCTAGCCACTGACCACGTGACAGTCTGCAGCTTGGAAGAAACCAGGAAGGGATATAAATACGCCACGTGGCCGACTCCATCTTGGTGCTCAGCTCAGCTCTTCATCCCAGATGCAGCATTGCAGGGATCAACGAGCCGGAAAGAACTGTGGACCAATCCTGACATAGGATGTACACCAAGGACTTTTAAGCCAGCAGTTATAATATCTCTGCTGCGAGCCTGCATCAAGAACTGGGAGATTCAATGCATGTAATGTATGATACCTTAACAACCTTACTCTCATGCTTTTCTTTCTTTTAGTAATAAACCTTTAGATTTTAGATTCTAAAGGATTGACTCAGCATGATTTGTGGGTAAGATCCAGAGTGTAAACTGACCTGAGATCTGTGGCTGGTTTCTTGGGACCGGACCGAACCTGTTCGGGGTAGGTGAGATTGGATTCTAAATCTAAATCCCTGTGGGCAGACCCAGGGATTTTGGGGGCACGGAGAGAGCTGGGGTTCCAGAGGGGTTTTGATCATGAGGCTTCAGAGTGGCCAGGCAGGCAACTGAAGTGCTCTGAGGGACTGGTTTGTTGCCTATATGGGAAGGGCTGCCAGTCAGGGCTATAGAGAGCCCCAAGTTTGAGCAATTCTCCCTGAGCAGATGCCTTCAGCAGTGCCCAGACCTGGCTCTGTCTGTCACAGAGCATGACATATGCAAACGAGCACTCCATTTGCATTTCCTCTTGCGGAAGAGGATTGTAGTATAGACATAACCACAGGGTGCACTATGCAGGCTTCTGGCATCGATTTAAAGGGCCTTTGGCTCTGGTTGCTGCTTTTGAAGCATTGAGTCCTGAGAGCATTGTGCCCCTGGCCCTTCTACATCGGTGGGCTTACGGGGTACTAAATGAGGAAGGGTCTACTCAGCGGAAATAAGGATATCACAGTCTGGCCCTATGGTTTAATAGGTTCCTCCATTAAATGTTAGAGACTCTGCATGATTCAGAAGTGATATAACTAACTCATATTTCATAGAAGAAATATTCAAGATTTGATACTACAATTTTACAAGCCTGTACTTGTACTATAAGATTTTATTCATAAACAAGTTCAATAGAAAACATCAAAACATCATTGTCATTTTTATTGTCTGAAAATTTCCTCCCATGCTTGACTCTAAAAGGAAGATATATATAGATATAGATATATTTTGCACTAACGTGGAGAAATTATATAACATTACATACTAGCAAAAGTTTCTTGGAATGTTGTCCTTGATAGGTTCTTTGTCTAGTCATCCCCTCACTCTCTTTTGCAGCACAGGGTCCAACTCATATTTCAATGTGCACGTTTACACCATAGAAAGCTTTCTCTGCATCAGGATACATCCTTGTATAAGATAAACACCTGAAATTTTGGATTCCTACATATCAAAATGTTCAGAGGTTTTTCTTATCATGGAGTCATGGGATTAGAAGATACCACAAAGGTCATCTGGTCTAATTAGTCTACTCATGGACTTAGTAAACTGCATTTGAAAAGGGAGATTTGGAATTTAGTGACAAGACTATCACATTTATTTTTCAGACCTCCCACTCATTTCATTATTCATCTTATGAGTAAGGTCACATTATCTGCTTTACTAGACAGTCTATGCTGACATTTTCTCCTTATTCAAAAGGGCTTCCCAAACAGTGTTTCAAGTTCAACTTCTATCTTACTGCTTAAGATATGCTACATGAACCTATTCATGCCTCAGCAATTCTGAAGTTCACTGAAGTAGAAAGGCAGAATATATTTGCAATATTTTCTGTTGACATACTGTGAGAATGCTCTTTTTTGCCATATTTTATTGAGCAGTGGATTGCACATATGTACTGCTTCAGGAAGGTTTTCTAAAAGGTTCCTTAAGATCTCAAAATGTAAATACTCACAGATCATAAGGTATTTCTTCAGCTGAACTTCAGTCAGTATTTTGTATTTTATAAAAGATCTCAGAAGTACATTGCTGAGAATCAGTATTGAAACATAATCTAATTCCCATCAGTGTTGTGGGAGAGATTCATTGATGGCCTTATCTTCAGGTGTTCACTACCTATGCATACTGGGTCAACAGGCCTAAATCCCAGTATTTAATCTTCAAAGGCAAAAACATCAATAACTTTGGTGTTCTGACAATCAGGGCCCAGATACTCCAAAAAGGAGAATAGAATGTTTAAAGACCCAAAATTTACAGCTAAACCAATGGATTGCATACAGTGTCAATATATTATAAAGCATATATTGAATAGAGTATCTTAAGAATATTTGTAATATTCTGAATTTCCTGGTCATTGTGAGATATGTATACATATTGTGCTTAGGAATTTCTGCATTTCTGCGTTTATAGAAAACTGTGCTCATAATCTGAGCAGCAACTTCAGTTCCATCTCAAGCAAGATGGTAAGCAATCAACTAGGTAGGGGTATCTTCCAAGCCAGTTGTTTGCACTTAATGAACTGTAAGTAACTATCCATTGTCCAGCACAAGAAAAGACAATGATGTACCACTGGAGTTAAGAAAAGATATTGAGACAACTCAAAACTGAAAAGAACATCCTAGCTCTCAAGTCAGGAAATTGTTTCCCCACTTTGTCTCCATTGACAAAATGAGAGGAGGGCAGGAAAAGCTTTCTAAAAGCAGCCTGGGATGGAGTTGGGGGTGAGAATGGGGGAGTTATCCAGAACTTGAAGAACAACCTTGTGATGTGAAGTGTCCATGAAGATGGTGGGGGAAAACTGCTTTAAGGTAATAGTAAATCTTATTAGGAAAGGGGGATTTATCTAACACGAAGGTGTAAAACCTGAAGTCGTGCCTCTATGTCTATGTCTGTGCAATTTCTGTACTTCTGCCTTCTCTTACTATTCCACCTTTGAAACTATGCTTTTTCTATAAAATAACTTTTGTTTGTTTGCTTATTTTAATACAAGCAGGACTCTGGTGTGCAAACTGTGTGATGTGTGCATGCCCAAGTATGCCAGTAACTGGGATTCTGCTTTCAGGCCTTTTGAGATGATGAACCAGAGAGAAAAAGTCAGTATGTCTGGTAGTTATGGATTTGAGGAGGGTGCATTTATGGAGACTTGAGACTGGAATGACAGCTAGTGTCACCCTGCAAAGAGTAACTGGGCTGGTGTGAATCAGAGTGATACATTATGCTTGTGAATTGGATGCTGTTGTCAGGTATCTGAACTATAAGCACACAGAGCACAAAGACCCCCTTTGTTATCTGGCAGGTGCTGACAGAACCTCTTACTCATCTGGGTAATCCCTTACTGTCACAGGGGTCTTTTGATTAAAACATTTAAAATGATTAGGGATTTGGAATACATTTCATGTTAGGAGAGATTTATAATAAAAAACTCCTGGGACTAGGAAAGAAAAGACTAAGGGGGGATATGATAAAAATCTATAAAATCATTAAAAGTTTGGAGAATGTCAATAAAAGGTGTTATTTACCTTTTCACATAACAAAAGAACCTGGGGTCACAAGATGAAATTAAAAGGTAAAGCAGATGAAAAACTAAGATAAAGAAGTACCTCTTCACACAGCATGCGTTCAGCCTGTGGCACTTGATGCCAGGAGATGTTCTGAAGGCCAGATCTACAATGGGTTAAAAAAAGAATTACATAAACTCCTAAGAGATAGGTCCATCAATGCCTCTTGGCCAAGACGGTCAGAGACACAACTTCATGCCCTCAGTGTCCCTAAATTTCTTACTTACAGGAGCTAGGACTAGATGGCAGGAGATGAATTACTCAGTAATTTCCCTCTTAATAGAAAGGATCTATATTAAAAGAAAAATGATATTGCTCTGTATTCCTGTGAGTTTCCCTATTAATTTAGTATTTTGGAACTCCAACTTCAGTGACAAATCAAGTCAGGTTTTCCCTTATATACCGCTCTTTTTATTTTCAGTTAACGTTTGTATGGCCTACATTTGTCCGATCATAACACAATAGGGAAATCAATGATCAAAAATTTCAAGTGCACTCCAGAGAGAGGAAGAAGACTTTGGATGACGAGTAAAGTAATTAATTCAAGTTTTCTTTAGTGAAACCAGACACATATTCAGTATTTACTCCTTCTCTGGTATACAATCCCAATCTGTCCTCTCCTCCTCTCAACTAAGTGTAGTTTTCAGAATTCAGTTCTTACCTGCTATCTTCAGCATTACAGGAATATTATTAATTTCATATTAGAAAATTTAAAAATCTACAAATAACCATGTGGATCTGAAATAAAACCCTGGGTCTGAATATTCCAAGCACTAGAAAATTCAGAATGGGATCCAAATATCTCCAAAGTTCCTTTGTAATCAAAGCTAATGTGCCTAAACATAAAGAAAGACAATAATTACTTTTCTCTTTGTGTTAACAAGTTAAAAACCATCAGTGTTTTGAGAAAGCAAGAATTAAGAGGTATCTTTCAGGCAACTAGGCCACAAGAGTGTATGCTAATTTTATAAACTTTACATAACCAATAAAGCCCTAGGAAGATTAGTCATTTGTCCATGCAGCTAACAGGGAGATTATGTTTCTTTTACATAGGTTTCACTGTCATAAATATGTTTCTTTTAACTATTTGCAATAATATTATTTGGTGGAAAAAAGGATTCTGCATTTTCTCCTCATCTACTTTGAGATTTAATTTATTAATGTTATTAATTGATGACTAGTAGTTTGAATTGATTCTTATTTCTCATTAGCAGGTTTCCTTGTGTCTCATACTCAGTCTCTTTGGTATAATACCATCAGATGTTGTCACTAAATCCTCAGCGTCAGGTTTCCCTAGCAACAGAGAGCTCTCCCTGCCTCACTGTCTGCATCTGAAATTCAGAACAAAAACAGTTAATTTGTCAGGAACCCAGGAAAGAAAAGACAACATTAAGTCTGATACTCTGTATTTGGAAACAAAATGGTAAGTTACAGCTAAAATTTGAATTAATTGAAGTATAGAGATGTCTTTTATTACTTACGGACATACATGAATGCCAGATGGTGACCTGTTGTATTCATCACAGACTAAATAGATAAAGGCTAGGCCTTATGGTTGCCTGCACATGTTCTAACAAGTTTACCTGCCGAGTCTAACAGGTTGCAGAGCTTTTAGGGTTGCAATTAAGAACTAAAACTGAGGAAAGCTTAGTTGTATTTGATTTTAATTTGTTACTGGATGGACATTCCCAAGGTTTTACCTGTAACCTCAAAAGTTACTGTTTTTCAAACTGTTGTCTCTTTCCAAGCTGACAATTGACAAATAACAAGCAGTAGTCAGTGAAACAAGGTTTAAGTTAAATAGAAATAGACAGAGGTATTTGTCTGAAAGTATGTGATGCCAAGTAAAATGTGTCATTATAAGTAAGTAGAATCACCATGTGGTTTTATGTGTACTGTCACTTAAAAGTAGTATTCCTAAATCAATTTTTGTAAAAGAGCTTTAATAAATTTCAGAATTTTGCTAGAGAGAAAAAGATCCTAAGAAGTGAAATTTGTGATATTTGGGGATAAATTCTTCACAGATATGATTGAATAAAGCATTATTTTCAATGAGCAGTTCTGATTAATGCTACTGATGAAAGTAATTATATGCACTGAAATAGAACAGTTGTGGTTATGGGATGGGATGTCTGCATGGTTTAAGAAGCCATAAAATTGTCTGTATGCTTTTGTATATTATTTCCCCCACTCACTCCTTCATAATTTTGTTTATTTACCAGTAATTTATGTAATGCAGGAGGAAGGGAAGAATAAGATACCAGTTTCATGTCATAAAACATGTTTTCCTTCTTTTATTGTCAGAAAACACCTTTCCATTTTCTTAGAGGAATAGGACATTACTGAGAAGCAGACAGAGATAATGTAGCAATCTTTAGGATGGCCTTTCCCATGGCCAGTATCTTTACCCTTTTGTGAAGTTCCATAAGGAGTTGTATTTCATCATTTCTTATTAAAATTATATCCATTATGTATTGTATTTTTAATTAACTGTAAAAGCTATGGTTAGTAACTACTGTAATTTCTAATTACATTTTTGAATGATTTGTTTGTTGCTGCTGGTAATTAGGCTGAAGCCTCTAAGGAACCTGACATGGACAGTATGTCCATTTAATTGTTAAACCTCTTTTCTAACTAATCAACCAGGATTATCAAAACGATTGTCACAGGGCCTTTATTAAAGTTGCAACTCTTGTTGCCAGAGTCTCTTCAGAGGACATAGTGATAAGTAGATAATTTCTGTCATTTATGATATTTATTAATGCATATTCATGAATATTTTAAATATAAGGTTTTATTATATGATATCTGGAAATGTTCTCCTGTATTTAAATAATACATATAGAGGGAGATGAATATTGGCCTGGAGAAACACTCAGGAGAAGATGTGTATGGAGCTTATTACATTGCACAACACATGTCAAAGCCTATTTGGTTCTAATATACTTGTGCAGACTAAAAAGTAAGGGATCTATACACAAATAGCCTGCACAAAGCCATGAATAAAGACCAGGCAGAGGGAACAGAGATTGTGTACCTGATATTTTTCCTCGGAAGCAGATGGACAGGTAGTGGGTAGATCCATGACTACATGTCCATCATCTCCAGGAGAACTGAGCCAGCTCAGAGAGCATATAGGGGAGCAGAAGTAAGCTGTACCTTGTGAAGGTCTGGCACAGGAGTTTCTTCTGGGAGCAAGAGTGGAAGGGGTAGAATTATGACTCAGTGGTACAGTTCCATCACTGAGCTGCTTCTATGGTGACATAGCTAACAACATCCTGCTATTCAGAGCATCGAGCAAAAACCCAGTTTATCCCTACATTGTTACTAATGTAAAGCTGCAAACATTTCAAATTCTTTTCCAGACTACCCAAACTTTTTGAATCTGCTAAGCAAAATAAGAAATGTTGTGATGCCTGGTTCTCCCTGGAGATTTTGGCATTTCCTCTCTTCAGAGTGCTGGTCAGTCAGGAAATGCAGAAACATAACAATTAGAAATAATAGAATTTCTTATTAAATACTGTGGCCATTTATGTACATTAAAAGCTAAATTAGCAACTTATACAAAAAATAAAATTAATGAAAGGAAATACTTTCAGGCCTAAGCTAGAGAGACCAATCGAAGGAGGGAGTGAGATAGGGAGGGAAGAAGAAAGAATGACATAATGGCTAGGGTACTGGATTTAGACAAAGGACACCTGTGTTTAACACTTCTTTGACTTCTGGCAAGTCATAACATCTATAGATGCATCAATTTCCCATCTGTAAAATGGGTAGTATTTCCCTACTTCACAAGAATATTGTGAAGAGAAAATCCTTCATCAGTAAATGAAGGACTCTAATGAAATGGTGAGGAGAGCTGAATAAGTACTTAGATAGCGTTGAGATTGAAAGGATAATTAATTTTCCATGCTCAGTGAGTCTTCAGAGTTTCCCCTAAGCTGCAAATTCATTCCATTCGTGCTGGTAGATTTTGTAATATGGGCTTTCATCTGCTGGGAATTCAACTGAGACCACCAAATGTACTCTCCTTTTGTAAATATGCATTTAAACAATTTCTGTCACAGAAATTAATTGTGATATTGCATATTGACTTGATTTTGTGGTTTTGAAAATACACTTTGTCCATAAAATGTTGCCCGACGGATAAGATTTATTATCTAGTGAACAGGCTGACAGACACTGACTGTGATAGATGCAGGAATATGATGATTTCATGTCTGCGATGATGTATGTTTGTTACTGATGCTACATCCTAATTTTGGCAGTTTATGATCCATTCCCCTTTCACTGGTCATATCTGTTCTGGAGCTTTACGAACTTGAAATTTGCTTATCTAAACAAAATTCATTAAAAAAGAATAACATCACTGGATTTTTCAGTCTAAAAAAACCTGATTGAAATGGATGCTTTATGATAAAAAAAAAGTTGTAAGATGTACCCTGGCAGAATTTTCTATACTCCATTCTGTGGATTTTTTCTTTGATTCTGTGATTTTTCTTTAAAATCAGTCTGATAAGGTTAACTAATCAAATGGGCAGATGATCAATGTCAGAGCCACTGTGAAACTACCTCAGCAAATGGAATGCAAAATTAGATTGCAGTCTGACAGTAGAAGCACTGAGAACCATGTGTATATTGTAGTTCATGCTATAGACAAGTCTTCTTGTAAAAGTCACCTTGATCTTAAGATGCGTTTAACATGAATTTCACATTAAAGTGTGAAAGATATTTAAGGTTAATAAAAATTTTCAAGGTACATGATGAAGATGCTGTTAATAGCTATAAATATACCTTGAACATTGATTTTCTGGATCACTCCAATTATTGTAGTAATTATAAATCATAATAATTATTTGTTAAATCAAAAAAGACAAAGATTCATTTTTTCTATAAAATGTATTAATTGATGCTGGCTGTAAAATATCTTGGCACCCTTTAAATTTTCAAACTGCTATTAAGCATATAGGTTTTTTTTCTCTTCTTGGTTTTCTAACTTTGTATGACCCCAAGCCTAGTATGACTTCAAAAATCTCCTTCCTGAAGGGAATAGCTACCACAGTTTTAGATCATTCAAACATATAAATGAGCAATGTGATTGCAGTGGCATTACTTGCAAAAGTAAAGATGTTCATATGAGTAAGTGCTGACAGGATTAGGCCCTTACTCTTTCATTTATATAAAAGCTCACTGTTTCATTAGAGATTTCCAGGAGGAAAAATAGGTGACAAACGATTTTGACAGAAAATACATGAAATTTTGTACATGTTCAATGCTGTGTACATTGTTTTTGTTTGTTTGTTTTGTTTTTGTTTTGGGAGGGGAGGAGAGGGAAGGTTTGTTTGTTTTTAAGCATGCATTGACGTAGCCTTTCAAGGAAAAAATTAGAGAACTAACTGACATTGTTCAGGGTATTGGAATTATTTGATCAGTACATACAGTGTGAAAAGCATTAACATTTGTGCTCCTTACAAAATGGCTTAGTGAGCACTGCCTAGGAAGCCAAGATTACATTCTTAATCCCAGTCTTGGATCTGACCCTGAATCTGTTTGTTGATTTGGACAACTCACTTAGCATTAGATTGTGGCTTTCCAGTCACAACCTTGAACTGAGACTTTGTATAGACCTGCTTGCCGTTTCTCAGGGAGAGCAGAGCCATTTTGCCTTAAAGGTAGAATGCTTTCCAGAACTTTCTAGTGCTCAGGGGAATGAAGAAGCTACTACACCCACTTTATAGTCTTCAGTTTCCTCCCCTCTTTACAACTAATATCCTCTGCTGCCTCAACCATGTAGAGATGGTTGTCCCTCACCTGGGGAATATCTCAATAGCAGCCCTGAGTGCCCCATAATACAGTGTCTGTAATTCTGATCAGCACCCCAGCAGCTTCACCTGGAGGAAATAAGGCTCCCTAATATATGTATCTTTGCTGATACTGTGCACTATGTCAGAGCAAGCCTGATTCCAGCACTTAGATGCTTTGCCTTTTTTTTCAGTCTGCAATATGGGACTAATACTTACCTATCTAGCTGATTAAGGCTTGTGGGAATATATTAATTCACTGTTTGAGATGTTCTCTGAATTTAAAAATCTTTAACTAAATACTCTCAGTCTGCTATGGTTATCCTTCTGTGTGTGATGTGCTGATTCCTCTTGCCAGACAACAATGTGATACCACAGTAAATATTATCAAAATATTATAACAGTTTGCATTTAAATATCTTTTCATGTGGTGGCATCTTCCAAAAACCTTGTTATTAACTCTATAGTCAAAATAAATGACTGTGATTTATCATCCAAACGGCACATCAAGCATGATAGACTTTAAAAATGAAGTTTCCAAAACAAACATGTTTACTTTGTAAATCCTTTAATATTTTTATCTTAAAGCAACCTATAAAATCAATTTTCAATTAATTAAAAA